CCCCCATCCCAGGCTCCCTCCCCAACTCAGCTTTGCATTTGAATCCTGCTTTTGCTTGGAGGTTATATGTAAACCCCATTGTGCCTGCGTAGTATGATTAATGTTGCTGATGTAACTTGTGTGAACTCCCTACTTGTAAACCCCTTTAAAGGTAATCTGCCTGCCCACCCTTGGCGAGCAGTCTTGGCAGCAGTAAGCACGGACTGACTCCATTTCCTTATACAACGAAATAAAGGTACCTTTTTGTTCTCCCACCTTGGACTCTCGTTTATTGGCCAATATGAGTCATGCCGAGTAAGAACCTGGGGCTTCCACCCGGTCACACAGAGGCATCTGGCCAAAGAAGCAAAATGGGGCTGAAATTCTGCGTATGCTCAGGTCACCAAGCCATTCACTGTGGAGTGAGGCCACGTGTATTAGAAGAAGTAGCATCTAACCACAGGTCCCCAAGCTACTGCCTAGACTGCTGTACCATCCCAGGGGAAATGCTGTTTCCTAACTGGTTTACCACAGGGGGTACTTTTTTCTTAATTCAAACAAAGGCATCTCATTAATTAATCGCGACTCTGCCTACTCCACTATCTACTATTAGTTGTGTAATCTTACCCAAGTTACTGAACTATTCTAAAGCCCAGTTTCCTCATCTGGGAAATATGGTTGAAAATAGTACTTGCCTCATAGTGAGGTTTTGAGGATTACACGAGATGATGCCAAGTGAAGTGTGCAGTATACAGTGCCAGGTCTTTAATAAGCACCCTCTATTTGTGATCATCATTATCACAACCTCTCTGAGCCTCGGATTCCTCATCTGTTAATATTATCTACTTCACAAGACATTTCCATGAGCATTTTACAAACTATAGCACACTATATAAAAATTAGTAAATGCAAAAACTGCTTGATAACTAGTACGTAGTAAATGTTTGATGAATGTTAAATGGTATTGTTGCTATTAGTACTGACAACTCATTTAAAATTTTTACATCATATATATTCTTGGTTTGGGTGTCTGTTAGAGACGATAATCATGCTCAAGGATCATTCTAAATTGTGAGAGAAAAATTATCTCATTAGGCAGATCTATAAACAATACAAATCTAAAGGTTCTAAGACAAAGTATTATCTATTCGATCTCCACAACCTCCCCCTGTCCCATCTACAATCTATCAGATTTAAGCTGATCAAAAAAATCACCTGAGAGACACTGAACCTTCTTGTTTAAAACTAGGGCCTCCCAATAGGAAAAACTGTGTTTTATATCCACATGACACAGAAAAAACATTAGATTTACACACAGTTGCATAACTGTATTTTCATGGACTTGGAAACAGCATTCATTCTTCAGAAAATGCCTGTTGATTCATTTCAGCCTCAAAATAGTATTTGACTCTGCTCCCTTAAGAAAAGGGCTCCTTCCACCCATATTGCAATGTTTGGGATATTTAAAGCTTCTGTTACCATAAATGTGTCTTACAGTCTCACAGCAACCATAATTCAGATACAAGAACACACACTTCCACAGCCTGCAAACTAGAAGGATTTTTAATAGGCCTCCAATTCTGCAACTGAATGGTGTTTACTGTGACCTATGCAGCAGGCAAAACCCAAAACAAAACTAAGCCCTGAGTCAGTATCAGATGTAACACTTCCTTCATGTCTTCCAAATGTGCTCACAGTTTTGTTTTGTTGCTATTCACATTTATTACTACCAACAGAACGCTAGCTACACATTTATCAGTGAAAGACAGTGCTAAGGGAAGAAACGAATGTTCTTTCAACTTTATTATTGTCCGTATCTTCTCAGCACTTAGGCATGAAGCACATTCTACATTTACTGTGGATGATTCTGTCCATTCAAGAAACATCTCTGATGGAATGGACACCAAGAGGCTGTGGATTCAAATCTGAATCTGTCACTAAATAGCATTATCTCCTTAGGCAGATCGTTTAACCTCTGGGGTCTCCTCTGAGATAATGTATGAAAACAGATTTTTAAAATTATAAAATGATATATGCGTATGCTTATTCATTATTTCTGCCGACATTATATTATGCAAACAGATTTAGAAATCCCTGCTTTAGTTACCTCAATTCACTATAAAGGAAAAGTTGTGAAATAGAACTTTTCAGGCACAGAAACATTCTACAAACGCAAGGCCTTTTAATGCATCGTCACCTTTTGAAGCTTTAGAATCTTATTAAAGCAACTGCTAGAAGTACTATACACAAATAGCCCAATCAAAAGGCAGCCATGACTTGGAAACTTCGGGAAGCATAAGCATTAACAGTTGGGATAATCAGATTGATCGATAATATTATCTGTCTGGCAATCCATGTACCTTTTTAGTAGCATTTTATGCAGCAATGTTCCTGTAAGGGTAGTTAAGTGTGGCATCTCAAGTCTGCCCATCCTCACATCTCTCAGGCATACTCAGGGCAAGCAATATATTACATCCATTTAATAAATGAGGAAAGCCTGGGAATCACCTAGATACACAGAATGAAAAATAAAGCCAGAACTGGAACAATAAATAGGCTAAGTTCAATGTTCTTTCCCCTGGAATGCACTGCCATCCTTGGGGCAGGCCAAAGCTTCAAATTCAAAAACAAAAAAATCTCCCTGGCCTTTCCCCATGTTTCTTTGCTACCTGTCTCAGAAACTTGCACAACAGAGCACAAGAAGCAAAAAGTTTGTTCCATAATGCATTACAAGGGATTAACTTCAAGAAATCTTTGGTTTCTACTCGGCAGCCCTACAAACTACACACACACACACACACACACACACACACACACACACACACCAATCTCCATTAAGATCAAGGGCAGACTCATATGAACCAAGCTGCTCCATTTGGGAAGGAAACTATGGACATCTGGCAAAATAATCTGTCAAAGACAAGGTTCCCTATATCATGACCAGGCAGATGAACAGGGCTGCCACACGTCAAGTATGTTATTTAACGGGTATTGCTAATGTGCATTTACTACCTTTACAGAGAAATTATTTTCTATATTTAATGTGCATTAATTATTACTAGAATTTACAACATCTTTTATTTTCCAGAGCACATCTTACATATAAAGCATGCTACAAAGAAATAAAACAACCCCCTCAGCTGGCTTTAAAAGAAGACTAGGAATAAGCCAGAAGCACAAGGGTAGATCAAAATTTTATTTGTATGCTATGCAGCATACAAACATGTTGTCATTGGTACAATATTTTTCTAAGAATAAAAGGCAACATTATGAATATGGTATACCCAAAGTTAAAAATGACTGCTCTTTCAGACATGAGGTCTACAGATGAAGTACAAGGTGATTTGGTTTTAAAACACTAAAAATGTTTCAGCTGCTGAAATGTATCACTAATTTGAGTTTAAACAGATAACATATCCAGTCCATAAAATATATCAAAACAGTGTGCAAAGGCAGAAAATGAGCAATAGTTTCTGAAGCAGAAGATCAGAAAAGATAAACTACCGAGTCTTGATTTCAATCAGAGGCACTGAAAAGGTTTTCTGAGGCAAAGACAAATATTTCTCTGATTGGATGGGGAAAAATTAATTGGTCTTAAGAGCTGATTTAAAGTGGAAAAAAAAAAAGCGTAAAAATATAAATGGCCAACCCAGGGTAGGAGAAACATAAGTGTTCAAAAAACATAAAAAGATGTTCAACCTTACTCAAAATCAGGAAAACGGCTAAAAGAAGACTATAAGATTCCATTTCATACCCATCATATGGATAAAAAAATAAAAAGTCTGACAACACCAAATGTTGGAAAAAATATGGAGCAGTGTAAATTTTATACCCTCCTAGTGTGAAAGTAAACTGGTACAACCACTTTGGGCAACATCTGCAAAGAAAGATATGCTAATTCTATACACTCTGGTGGCGCAGTGGTTAAGAGATTGGCTGCTAACCAAAAGGCCGGAGGTTCAAATCCACCAGCTGCTCCTTGGAAACCCTATGGCGCAGTTCTACTCTGTCCTGTAGGAATCTATGAGCCGGAATCGACTCGACGGCAACAGCTTTGGTTTTTTTTTGCATGTTTTTTTTAATACACTCTAGTGTTTCTGCTCCTAGACAAATATCATAGAGAAAGCCTGGCACATGTACCCAAGGAGGCTTGCACAAGATTGTCCACAGCAGCATTTTCATCATAACAAGAAACAGAAATAACTACATAATTATCAATAGGAGAATGGATAGTGTTCAAAATTGTTTGTTGAATGAATGACACTGAGAGATAAATAACAATGTTCTCAAAGGATGGCATAGCCTAGGTCCCTGTGCAATAATACCAAAAGGTGTCATCAGAGTCCCAGAGTCCCAGAGAAAATGTAGTATAGGAAAAAAAAATTTTTTTGAAGAAATAATGGAGGAAACCATAACAAACTAGGTGAAAGACATAAACTGTGGTACATCCATATAATGGAACACTACTCAGAAATAAAAAGGAGCAAACTATTGCTAGACTCAATAACATGGATGAATCTCAAAGACATCATGCTGAGTGAAATGAGCCAGTTTCCAGACATTACACACTATTTGATTCCATATACAGGTGGTCCCTGGCTTACAAGAGGGTTCTGTTCTGATGACTCTGTCATAAGTAAGTTCTGAAATAAGTCGAATACCTCATTTTTTTTTAAGTTTTCATTATTATTGCCTTTTATTATCAGTATCTTTATAAATCTGATCTTTACCTGTCCTTAGGGGTTGGAAACATTACATATAAACTTACAGATATGTGCTGCAATATTGTATGTAGTACATATTACTAAAGATAAAATGTACCAAATAAAGGACCGTTATAAACGTGGTTCGTTGTAACTAGAATACGTCATAAGTCGGGGACTGCCTGTATACAACATTCTGCAAAAAGCAAAAGTATAGGAACAGAGAAAAGATCAATGGTTGCCAGGGGTTAGAAATAGGAAGAGCGTTTGAGTATAAATGGACAGCACAAGAGAATCTGGGGGTGGGGATGAAGGAAATTGTTCTGTGTCCTGATTATGGAGGTGGTTACACAAATCTATATATGTGTTAAAATTCATAAACTGTACATGAGAAAGTCAGTTTTATTGTATATAAACTTTTAAAAGTCTGAAAAAATCACTGCCTCTCCAAAGTGATGTATATCCGAGGTAATTAAATGGCATGACATGTCATACACTCACCGCCTGAAAATGTAAAAGGCTGCCAGATCATGCAGTTACATGGCCATCCACACAAACACTGCAACATCTTCCTTGAAGATGGTTAACACAAAGCCTAAATAAGGGCACTGAACATTGCTCTTAATCAATGTCTTAAAAAAAAAAAAAAAAGACTACTTTCAGGGTTCTAGCATCATAAAAAAAATCAATGTCTTAAAACAAAGTTTACTTTAGGAAAAAAGTGTTCAGGTTTTTTTTGGTATCTTCTACGAACTTTAATCTAGAATCTAAACACAACACTACTACACTGTAAAAAGGAAATAATGTTTTCTGTTGCATTGTTTTCATGTGTGCAAAACCTTCCTGCAGGGGACTGGAGACACTGCCAGTTAGTTAAATTAAAGTTCTTTACCTTTTCCTTCTTGTTCAGCCTCTCAAGGTCAGTGTTCCCTGAATAAAAGGCAATCTAAGCACTGGAATGTAGGGAACCCCACTGGCGTATCAGGATCTTCAACACTGATGACTTCCATGATTTCACTCTCCACAGCCTGCCAGGGTTCCCGAAAGAGAAGACAGCAAAGCATCAATAGTGCCACTTAACTGGGATGACCATGTGTCCCAATTTGCTTGGGTCAGTCCTGGTTAAGAACTGCTGTTTTGATAATTATTAATAGCACCCCCTTTCACTCTAAAAGTGATACAGTTTAGATGATTATATGGCCACCCTACCTTTAACTTATTTCCATTCAGGAACCTAACCCACAATCCCTCTCCATCACCAAGACATGGAAAGTAGCCCTCACAAAGAGAAGTACCTATACTAAGTCAAAAAAGGCAGGAAAATTAATTTGATTAGCCTAATGCATTCCTTGGTAACAGATATGGTGAGGGCAAGAGAATAAAACAATACACCTACACTGTCCAATGCGACAGCCACTAACCAAATGCTCTAATGAGCACTTCAAATGTGTCTCATCCAAGACTTTGAAAGCATTCCCCTCGAGAACAGGAACCAGACAAGGATGCCCTTTATCAACACTATTATTCAACGTTGTGCTGGAGATCCTAGCCAGAGCAGTTAGGTGAGAAAAAGAAATAAAGGGCATCCAAATAGGTAGCGAAGAAGTCAAAGCATCTCTATTTGCAGATGATATAATCTTATACACAGAAAACCCCAAAGAATCCACAAGAAAACTACTGGAACTAATAGAAGACTTCAGCAGAGTTTCAGGATACAAGATAAACATACAAAAATCAATTGGATTCCTTTACACCAACAAAGAGAACCTTGAAGAGGAAATCACCAAATCAATACTATTTACAACAGCCCCCAATAAGATAAAATACCTCGGAATAAATCTAACCAGAAATGTAAAAGATCTTTACAGAGAAAACTACAAGACACTACTGCAAGAAACTAAGAGAGACCTGCATAAGTGGGAAAATATACCTTGCTCATGGATAGGTAGACTCAACATAGTGAAAATGTCAATTCTACCCAAAGCAATCTACAGATACAATGCAATCCCGATCCAAATTCCAGCAGCATTTTTT